CTAATCAAAATGGTACTTACTTGCGCTTATCCGGATTGTTCAAACCGACTTAAAACTAAAAGATTACGTTATCTTGCGTGTACTCATTCGGGAGTGGTGACTTTCCACGTATTCCCAACTTCTGATCCTGCTCGCCTGAAGTTATGGTTGATTGCTCTTCGGCTGGATATCAACACACCCATTAACGTAAACTACTCCAGAGCGCGTACACACCTCACGCACCGGATGCCGTACGCGCGCCTAAAGCAGTTGGACATAGTGGTGTATTAGAGGTAAAAAAGTTTTATAAATACTGTTCGGTTTTTGACACAAACCGATCGTTTCGTGTCTTAGGACATCAATGTGTCGTCACGAGCCGCAGGGTTTAATTTGGATCGGACCAGGGTTATTATTGTTATAATTATAATAATTCCTAATGGGAAATTTAAACCGCAAAGATGGCACAGAAGCATTTCTGAAATGGCATTTAGGATGCCCTGGGGGTAAGCAGATAAACATCACATTTTCATTTTTGGGTGAACTATCCCTTTAATGCATTTGCACGGCAATCACAATTGTACACTTTGAAAATTCTGGATGCATTTGGCCAAAACCCGAAACGGAAACTGCTTTGTAATAATTATTTATTGTTTTATTAATAAAAAATATATTTTGTAAGATTTTTTATATTTAACTCAATTTTAATGATAGTGAATTAAAAAAAGCCAATAAAATAACCACACTTTTATTTAAAGTAACACAATAAAGTTGGACAGAATATATATTAATATTAAATATCAATATATTCTTTTTATTTAGTTCTATGCAACAGAATCAGATGAAACTGTTTTTTTTTTACTAATTATCCAAATAATGTATAGTCCTTTGTATAGTCCTGTATAGTCCTTATACAAAGCTATTATTATCAGAGCGTGTGAGCAGTGCATAACGTCACGAGAGGGTAGCGTCATTTTACCAGCGTAGCTCAGTACAGCTGTACTACATCATATTACAGCACAGTGGAACCAGGGTTGCCAAGTCCGTGGTTTTCATGCAGAATTAGGCTACTTTTAAACTGTTGCTGTGGGTTGGTTTTTCCTCCGTGGGTTAATGGTTTGAAGTACTGCATAAAGCATATTTGAATAAAATGCTTGTACTGAAATATTTTATATTCTACAAATGATAATACTGCGGTAGATGTGTTTGTGAAGGAGGTCATTAGTAAGGAGCTCTTGAGTTGTGTTTTGATATTAGGAAAATGGTCATTGGGCTACTTTTGGGCAATTTTTGATTGGCCATTTGGCGAGCTTTGTTAAGCAGATCTGGCAACCCTGGTGCATAACAAAACAAAACAAAAAATATCTGTCACTTCTAACATTTCATCTTGAGATTAAAAGGTTTTAGTTGGTCAGTCTGTTGAACTATAGTTGGCCAACAACCAGCAGAGTACCAGATGGCTAGACTGAGAGACCAGCAAACAATCTTAGGCTGGTTCAAGTAGTTTTTTTCCCTGTATTGTGCAGGCTGAGTTGGCATGCATGCATTTTAATTTTATGCATGTCAGTTGTGTTTTACACATTGGGTCGTGCATGCATTGTGATTCCTAAACCAACACGCCTCTTTGCCAAACATGCTCCTGAAAGTCCTTTGCTTCAATAAAGAGAAATAAATCACAATTGTCAAAAGGATGAAGGTGCATAATATTTGGCAGGTGTTTCAAAGAACATATTAGGGAAAAAAGCCTTTTTATGTTATGCAAGGTACTTGGGTGCCCAAATGAGTACAGTACAGTCCAAGTGAGTGAATAAACCTTCAGGCCACAGGAGAAACATAAGGACGAGGTGTCATTTCACAAGTGTTGCCAAAGGCAGAGTGGGTGTTTTATAAGTTATGTTGCTTTTCAATTGCAGAAATAATGGAAGATTCCCATTTCAACTCATCATACTTTTGGTCTCCCGTTCCAACAGTGCAAGGACAGGTAGACAACTTATTATTGGACTCTCTTGTACAGTACATCCTTGTGTCTTTAATGAACACGCTATGCTTATAGAGCACAATCTAGTAAATCAAAAAAAGCAAAACAAGCATACCAGTCCGGGATGGCTAACACCAGCCTCGCACTGATCCATGTGAAAGTTACACACTGGAAGCCCTGCACCAGCATCCATAAAAAGTAACCCTTCCCTCGCTGCTCTCTCCTTCTTTCCCTTCATCCTTCATCTGGGTTTATCTCTCAATCCATCCTCCTCTTCTCTTTCCTCCTTCCCTTCTTTCCCCTGTTTTTTTCCCATTCATTCCCCCCTGCGAGTTTAGATTGAGAACGCCATGTTTCTGAATAAGATGAAAGAGCAGCTGGGGCCAGACAAGGGCACTGCTTTTCCACACTCGTCCGCGGCGCACTACCCCACGGCGGTGCTGACGGTGCCGGGCTCGGTCGCCATGGACACGGGAGCCGTCGGGAGGGTGCCGAAGCAGGAGGGTGGAGGAGGAGGAGCGAGCGGGACAGCAGGGGCGCAAATATCTGGCGTGGGAGTGCACCTGCACCCACCTCACACGTCCCAGAACATCACGGTGGTGCCTGTCACATCTACTGGCATCATGACAGCAGGTGGGTATTCCACGTTTTGAAAAATCAATGGGGTGTGTGTGTGTGTATATATATAGCATATATTTTGAAAATATTTACATGTATATATTTATATTCATATGAATGTCTTTACTGTAATTTTTGATCAATTTAATGCGTCCTTGCTGAATAAAAGTATGTCTGCTACAGCCCAACATTTTTTTCACTTTTCTTGCACAGTTACTTCAAAATGATGTTCCTGTTATTATGCAAAATTCATAGCTCTCCATTTTTTGAACAGTAAATAGTGACCGTTATATAGGCATTTCTTAGTCACAAATGATTCATAATTCATGAGTCATAATATTAAGAACATGTGTTTAAGCATTTCCTTCTTATCTAACAACAGATAATACACCACACATTGCAGAATATTGATTATTCTCATAATTGTTTTTCATGTCACTTTCACTGTAAAAGCAGCAGACACACACACACAGACACACACACACACACACACACATATGCTTACTTATTCAGCCAGTCTGAGAGCCAAAGAAGCTGTAGGAAGTAAAAGTGAGAGTGACTGTGGGAGGTAGTGAGAAGGGATGGATGATGGATGAATAGAGAGAGGGACAGCGCGCTCTATATGTTGAGAATGTTCTGCTCTTTTCTGTCAGAGGCTGTCCGGCCCCCTTCCCTCTATCTCCACAGCCACTGTAAGTATAATAGCACATGTACATCTCTACCAGAAACCTGCAGTCAATCACACTCACATCACTAAAACACTTATGCAGTGTAATAACACTTTATTAAATTTGGTGTCTGTTGACTTGAAATAGCAGTAACCACCACTTCTTTCTTGGATTCGATTTTGGTTATTTAAAAAAATTCAAATAAGAATGAAATTATTTAATTTAATACAGTCATTTGGCTTTAAAATGGGGTCAGACATATTAGATTAGTCATTTGGAAACCACAATGGTTTGCCAAGGTAGACCTTTAAAGGTGCTGTATGTCATTTGTTTGACTCTACTAAAGCATAAAAATGCTATAATAGGTTTGCAGATATTTAGGAAACATGTCAAGTTCACATACTTGTTTCTTTGAAAAATAATGCTACAGCCACCAGTTATTTGACTTTGAAATGTGTGTTCCATGTCAGAATGTTTGTTTTTGTTTTGGTCTGTGTGATTCCGCCCACTGCCAATTTACCCAATAGTATTTCGACATCCTGGGTTGCCAGTTGGCGTGAAACTGCATATTGCAGCCATGGTGACCAAAAACAAATTGCGTCAGAGATCGCAGTTTCTACCCGACCTAAAAAGCCTCAGCATTCATCTAAACAGCTCTATGAAGAGAGGAATATTAAAACGCAGATAAATAAACTCAACAACGTACAGTTCTATTGTCATTTGTGCTTGTTCCTGTTGCGTGTCCACAATCTGGCAACCCATGTGAGCGTTGAGTCTGAAAAGAAGGGGTCGGGAGAAACAAATATCTCTCATATTTTGAATTTGGACTGCAGTATCCATTTAAACTGTTAGCTGTCAATATTACATAGAGCACCTTTAAAATTGGGTCTTTACAATATTGCAAATGCATATTTGGGTTTTAGTGCACATTTCTGCCGGTTTTACTGAAAGTTATTTGAAATGTTTACTAAATAATTGAGTTTATCAATGTCAGTGTGAAGGATTTGATGTCAGACCGTTACATTTCAGACTGTATAGCTCTGAAGATAGCAAAGTTTAAAACACGTTGCCTTTATCCTCTGAATGCAGAGTTGCAAGAAGAAATTATGCAGATTATGTTTCATATTCAATATTATATTACTGTGTTTTTGCCCCACTGACACAAACAGACAAGAAAGAGGACGGCAAGGTTTTAGTGCACATTTCTGCCGGTTTTACTGAAAGTTATTTGAAATGTTTACTAAATAATTGAGTTTATCAATGTCAGTGTGAAGGATTTGATGTCAGACCGTTACATTTCAGACTGTATAGCTTTGAAGATAGCAAAGTTTAAAACACGTTGCCTTTATCCTCTGAATGCAGAGTTTCAAGAAGAAATTATGCAGATTATGTTTCATATTCAATATTATATTACTGTGTTTTTGCCCCACTGACACAAACAGACAAGAAAGAGGACGGCAGTATTCCACCCGCCGTAGTCATGCCACTTCCCTCAAAGCGGGGCCGAAAGAAGAAGTCCATGATGCCAAGGGCAGGTCTCGTTTCAGCCCATGCACTCGCCACAGGAAGTGATGCGCTAATTCTTGCACACCTGGCCGCTGGGGGTCAGGTGAGACGTCATCATTTTACCTTTATGTAAATAAGTTATTGTTTATCTTACACTGCCCTGCATCATATTCACTGAATTAAATCCAGTAATTGTTTTTTTGTTTTTTTGTACAAATTTTGTGGTTCTCTTTCCAAATTCAGTGCTTGTTTTGCTCGAGCATGTCACACGAAACATGTACATGATGGAAAGTTTTTATTGATATTTTTAAACTCAGCATCATCAGATTAGGTAATATTAGGACTTTATTGGTAATCAGCAGATGGTTTTTTTTCAAGATGCAGGTCTGTGTTATTGTCCAAACAAGCCGTCGCTGATAAGTCCATTTAGAAAAGGGGTAACATTTTTAAAGAACTTAAAATAGAGAGAAGTAAACCAAACTGAGACACTTTATTAATTTAGTTGTATTGTTTGTTTAAAAAGACTCTCAAAACATGCTTCCCTAAATTGTCTATGTACTAAAGGTGTTGACTGATGCAAAAGTAAAAGTTTACCTATATTAAGATGCTCACTTAATTTTTTCGCTTTTACAGCACAACGCGAATGACCCATATGACCTTTCCAATGATGAAGATGATCATCCAGGCAAAGATGGGAACAAGTCATACAGGTGCATATTATTGCTTAAGAAATAAATAGCCATTTTCTTAAATATTTGCAGGCTTGATTAATTTGAGTGTGCATTAAACACTGCAGCACATTGCAACATACTGACACTATTTGATATGTGTATTAGTACACTGTGTATTTGTGCTTTTATTTGAACTTTTAAGTCTAATTGCATGACATTTCTGCCACCTTACAAAAATATCGCTTTATTTTCCGTCAGCTTGTAAGGGAGCGTCTATAAAGATGATATTATATATATAAACAGAATTATAACAATAAATATTTAGAGTTGAAAATCAACACTGAATTAGTTACAAATCCGATCATCATATCTACAGAATTAAACAAATTTTTTTTAGACTCTGTTTATGAAATAACTAAATTTTTTAATTCACCTAGCTATTCTATTTGTTCCATTAATTATGCACAGCCGATTTTCCACCTACAAGAATTAACTGAAATAGAAGTAGCAAATACTATCAGTGGCTTAAAGAATTCAAAGGCCATGGATATCTATGGCCTTGATACTATTTTTTTAAAAAGGCATAAAAAGATCCTTCTACAGCCTATTACATATTTGATTAATCAGTCTTTAAGACAATCCATTGTGCCATCAGCATGGAAGATGGCCCTGGTCACACCCATTTTTAAGTCAGGTGAAAGATCAGATATGGCCAATTATCGGCCAATCAGTATTTTGCCTGTTGTTTCTAAAATAGTCGAAAAATGGGTGGCTAAATTACTAATTCAACATCTCAATAAAAGCAATGATTTATTTCACCCTATGCAATTTGGGTTCAGGGCTCATCACTCAACAGAAACAGCTAATTGTTTGTTTTTGGAAAAGGTTAAAGGCTACCTAGATAAGAGTTCTTATGTTGGTGCTGTCTTTCTAGAAATAAAGTGGGCTTTTGATACTGTTAATCATGAAGTTCTTTTATCTAAATTAACATATATTTTAAATTTCTCTGAACAAGCTCTCAACTGGATAAAATCATACCTGTCCTGTAGAAAGCAATGTGTTCGTATTAATGATTCAAAGTCTCCATTCTGTGAATGTCCAGTAGGGGTCCCCCAAGGCTCCATACTTGGTCCAGTCCTGTTTACATTGTATATAAATTATTTGCCAGAGGCATGTAAAAATGTTGATGTTCAGATGTATGCAGATGATGCTGTAATCTTTACATATGCTAAGAACTACCAAGAGATAGCATCCACACTTACATCTGCAATGGCTCACATTGATGACTGGCTTACTAAGTCATGTCTCTACCTAAACACCAAAAAAACAGTTTGTATGGCGTTTACCAAACAAAATATGAAGGTGTCACATTCAAATGTGTTCCTTAGAGGACAGGAGCTTGATATTGTTAATGATTTCAAGTATCTAGGAGTCACATATGACTCCACCTTAACATTTAAACGTCATGTAAAAAAGGTGGCAAATAAAGTTAAATTCAATTTGCAGAATTTTAAACAAGTTAGA